CCCTCCCCCGCTTCCCCGCCAGCTGGCCCACCCTGATCGGGACTGGGTGAGACGGACCCCAATCGGCCAATCGCCAGCCAGGCCGAGGGACCCCCCCCCCCTCACCTGTGCACGAATTCGTGCTATGGGCCTCTAGTCAGTCAATAAAAAAATTTAAAAATAAAAAATTTCATTATCTGCATTAGCTCCTTAAATGAATTAAATTACCTCTTAGTATTAAATTAACACGATTTGTATGAATAAGCAAATAAAAAGACTTAATTTGTTGGCACCTCTTGGACAATTAAAACACAAGGGTTGGTACCTTGTTAGTACAAGTATTCCTTTTAAAAATACTCAAGTTGGTATTTAAACCCAATAGCCTTAAAAGGAGGCTTAAAAAGGGCACTAAAAAGTTCTCCATCTGTGATGTATATATATTATCAAAGACAGAGGGTTATTAAAAGCCCAAAATAAAATCTTAAAAGATTCTGAACATACTAATTGTTTCCAAAATTTTTATCTTGGTTCATCAAAATTCATGCTTTTAATTCATCACCCTACCAGATCTCTACTAGAAGTCTTTCTTTCATTTGCTTCAATATTTCACAAACAACATAATAAAATTAATTAACAAATTTGTACGTTATAAGGCTAGTGACTTGCAGTGTTTCTACCACCATATTACTTTAGGGTGATTTAGCACAGGAAGGGGCCATAATAATGCTCAGTTCAAATACCTTGATTTACAAGTGAGCAAACTGAGGCCCTCAGAAGCTGTCACTTGCCCAGAATCACAGAAAAAATTAGTGACAGTTAGGACAGCATTGCATCACCCAGTTCTAAGTCCAATGTTCTTTACACTATACCCTACTACATAAAGGTTGGTAATGGTTAAATAAATGATCTGCAGATGACTTTTGTATGATCACATACATTGTAATTTTATTTATTTTATTATATAGTATTTTGTTTTAGTCCAGTTGTCCAAAAACAACCTCACAAGTTTTTTGATTTTTCAAATATCAACTTTATTTTACCATCCAGCACCTTTTAAAAATAGGCACAAGATCTCATTTCCTCATTCAATTTGGCAAAAATTGCCCTGGTTGGAGAAATGTCCCATATAGCAGGTTAGATTCCCAGTCAGGGCACATACCTAGGTTGCTGGCTGGGTTGCTGGCTGGGTCCAGGTGGGTATGAGAGGCAACCAATGTATGTTTCTCTCTCACATCTTTCTCTCTCTTCCTTTTTTTTCTTTATCTCCCTTTCTCTTTCTCTTTCTCTATCGCTTTCTCTTTCTCTCTCTCTCAAAATCAATAAAAAAATATCCTTAGGGGAGAATTTTTTTTTTAAATGGCAAAAACTTATTTCTAAGAGAACTGGACAGACATTTCAAGGTATAAGCACTCTGATACACTGAGTTATTATTCTTTTCTAGAGGGCAATTTGGCAGGAAAAAGAATTTTTTAACTTACATCTTTTAACCCCATTCCTAGACTATCTCAAGGAAAAAGTAATATATTTGGATACAGACAGAACTCAGGACCAAATGCAGCACTATTTAGAAATATCCAAAAATAGTAGACTGATTAAAACTAATGTATGTTACACACTGAATATAATGTAGCCATTAAAATTATATTCTAGAATGTAATGACACAGGAAAATATTCACAATATATTCAGTTATAATAGTATCCACTACGCAATTCCATTTCTGCTGAAAATAGATGCATATACATAAATTATATAATACATGAATAAAGCATTTATCACAGTTCTTGGAACATGGTAAAAAAATTCAGTAAGTGAATATGCTTTATGCATATCATAGGAAAAGTGTGTTTACATATAAAATATTAAGACATTATATTAGTAGAATTGCAAATACATTATTTTTTCACTTTCAAGACCATTTTGTACATTATCTGAAATAAACTAATACTCCTGCATGGAACGAATTATTTTTTTAAACTGCACTTTTAACTCAGTTCCAGTTCCTACTAAAGTTGAAGAAAAGCAGAATTGTACCAACCCTTCCCAAAATCTGATATTGCATAAGACAAAGTCTTACACATAGTAGATCCTTCACTAATTCTTAATTCAATATATATCCACAATCAACCTGAGAGCTAACTATCTCTCTATACATAACTCTTATTTCAAATAATAAAGCACATAATAGAGGATTTCAACATGAGGCCGCAAAGGCCGTACTGTATTTTACTACAATGGCTAGAAAAGATTAAGGTTTCTCAAGATATTGGTGATTTTCACTTTTTTTCTACACTTGATCTTAGCCGAAAGGCCTAGAAACGATTACTTTTTTTTTCCTAACGGTTGAAATTAGGTGTAAAAACATTCCAGTGTTAAAAATAATCTCTACTGTAATTAAATTCCTGTTAATTGAGACTGAAAAAAACTGAGGAAAGAAAAAATATACATAAGGATTTTATAAATAAATTCCACATTACAAGGCAGTTTTAAACTATGTTAAACCTTCAAGGGCATCGGCCATTATATATTTCTTGTATCTTCATAATATATATATGGTTAAATAATAAGTTGCCATTTCAAAACATTACTTCATATATTAAAGATGAGATATATAAATTACCAGAATAAAAGCTACGTTCCAAACAAGTTTACTGTGGTTTATCTAATGCACAGTGTTGGCCCTAATAAAACTGATTGCCAGATGAACACATCACTTTTTAATATTAAAAAAAAATTTAAGTAAAATCCCAAGAGCTTGTTCCCATGAAGAGTTAAGATCTAATAGCAAAATATTATATGCTAAAATATTAATTTTGTCCTACAAAAACTAGCTTAACAAACCCCCTAGGGGAATAATATTAATAAAGCAGGATATATCTGTGAAAACAGAATTCCAAAAATATGGGTGAGTGAGGTTATTTCCAAGTTGTCCCACATTAAGTACATTTAAAATTTAAGAGAGAGAGAGAGAGAGAGGGAGAGAGAGGAGCAACCTTCTCAGTAAAAATTGCCATTTTGTGTTTCAAATATCAACATCTTTGGGATTAAACCACTGGGAATATTTACTCATTTTTCGTGTAACAGCAAAATCATCCACTGACATCACTACACCAAAAACTTGCTCTGAATTTGTTCATGGCAAGTATTACAGAAAGAGACATTTAGAAACTATTATACACGTGTGTCAATCCACATCCCCTCATTTGCTTTTCTATTAGCTGAGGTATTAAATATTTCACTTTAAATATGGTAATTAGTCTTTTCCTATCCCTAAAATGAACTTGACATGTTGGTCCAAGCTTTCTGAAGAGACACAAAAAATATCGTCATTCTGTTCAGAATTTCCAGCAGTTATTCTCCTAACTAGGCGTTATCTGAGATACAGTACTTCTTGATCTCGCTCAAAGTAGGTCTAATCTGCGGAAGGCAGTGAGACAGTGTACTGCACTGTGAATGGACAGCCAGGTATTTTATGAATGGAGGCGATCACGTGATCCCAGCACCTCCCCGAACTGATATTTCCCACATAACTGTGTCAACATTCTGAGAACAGGGGTAGTTGTTTGTGTGTGCGTATGTTTTAGCATTTAACCTAAAACTTCGAATTTTCCTTACTTCCTAAACTCAAAAATCTACGTGAAGACAATCAAGCTTCGAATTTTTTTCTTGGGAAATCCTTTCAATATGTCCAAGGTGATGGATGTTTAATTATTTTTTTATGAATGAAGAGTGTGCTATGCAAATGAGGGCGATTCACAAAAAAAAGAGAGAACATGGCGGCCACTTCTGCTTCCCGACTGCACTGACACTGCAGCAATCTACCTTCTCCCAGACCCGCTCATCAGAAGAGTGTGCTGGGGGGAGGGAGGGGAAGGAAAAACGCTGCTTGGCATTTCTCAAGCTATTTTATGTTAAACAGGCCTAGGCTTTGGACTTTTATTAAAGTTCTCTCAAAAGAGGTCTGACTCGAGGAATGCACTTTATTTAAAGGAATGCATCCTAGGATCAGCCGTAACTCACTTAACTCTTTCCAACCCTCAAAAGATAAACAACATTTGAATTACAAGAAAACGGAAGCTAATATCCTGCATGAAATTAAATCCAGTCTCAACAGAAAACTGTCAGCGCACCAATACTTCTCCAAGCAGCTGTTACGTTAAGGCAAAATATTGTAAAAGGCAAAGTATTTCGCTTGAAAAACAGAAGGACAGCCCACATAAACAAAAACTTTAACCAGGCTGCTCTAGAAGTTCATCAACGAAGTCATCAACATATTCAGCAATGTAAGTAGTGTTAAACCAACGTAAAAGGTGTATTTTAACATAGCTGAAGAACAAAAAATTAGCATTCGAAATTCTTCTATGCACCTGATAAACACATGTCCAAGGTTCGCAAAGGCAAAATAGAATGGTTCAACAGCTCCCACACTCCAGGCGTCCATAATCCCATTAAATTCTAAACATGTCCCCCTGGCCCCATTTTTTACAAGAATCTTACAGGTCATAAGTTTAAAAAAGGAGGGGAGGGGGCAGAGGCTTAATCTGTATTTAAGAGTCACTGACTCATCGAATTAAGATTCAAGAGCAGTTTGCTGCAGGAGGTGCTCCCACACATTCGTTTCCAAGTGAAATAGCTATAAAGGAAACAGGATGGATATTCGGGATATGTTGATTGGCACGCTCCCGTGAAAAAGGACAGGCCAAAGGTCTTCCAGGCAAAGGGGTCATTTCTACCCTGCCTGCATCCATCCACCCACACCACTCGATCTCCCGGACATAAAACTGCCATCCAACCCCAACCCTCAATACCCTTCCCCAGAAGGAAGCAACTAAATGGGGGTGGGGGTGAGGGAGGGAGAGCTGCCATGAAATTACATGGCTAAAGAAATCAAATATTATCTGCAGAACAAGATGCACCGAACTCTCCAGGGCTGCAAGCTTTCGGGCACCCAAGTCTTGGAGGGGTGTGGGGGGCGGCGGAGGAAGGGTCGGGGGTAGTAATCAAGATCAAGGAGGCGCTTACTCGTTGTCAGAAGTCGCCGTCTCCTCGCTCATCTTTCCCTCACCGTGTTCCGATCTGGAGATGGAGGCGCAACAGCAGGAGGAGCAGCAGGAGCACCGAGGGACCGGAGGCAGCGACGGCCGGGGGGGCGCGCGGGCAGCAGCTCAGGGGCCTCACCATGGTGGACGCCTCACCCGGAGCGGGGCCCCCCCAGCCGGGAACCCCGGCCGCCCCCGCAGGGGGGTGGCGGCAACGACCTCCGCCGTGGCGACCCCAGCCTCGTCCCTCGCCGCAGCGCCCAGCCAGGAGGTCCGAGGAGGCCGGGGAGGTGTGCGGAGGGGAGAAAAGGAAGGGGGGCTGCAAAGGGCGCCTGGAGAGCGGCTGCTCCCGCCACGGAGCGGCGAGCAGCGGGGTCCGGCCAGCCAGGCGCGGGCGGGCGGGCGGGCGGGCGGCGGCGAAGCCGGAGCACAGGCGGCGCTGCCCTCAGAGATGCGGCGAGGAGGAAGCAGAGCTCCGCTCGGCGGGGGCCGGCGCGGGGGTGCCGAAGCCAGGCTCCGGGCGGCGGCGGCGGCGCGGTCCTACGGGAGCCCACCCCACCATCTCCCGCCCGGCTGCCGGCACCCGCTCAGCCCCCGGCAGCGAGCGGGGCGGTCCTCAAGAACGAGCACCACCGGGGCGCGGGGGCCTCGCGGCGGCGGATTCCTCCAGACACGCTCCAGCCGGGACGGCTCTGAGGGGGGAGAGGGGTCGGCGGGGAGCCGCGTGAGGCGGGGGCCGGCGCCGATCGCCCCCGC